TTTTTTCTAAAATGAAAGTGTTAAGAAGGTTTTGATCAAATTGTTTGACTGTTCTTATAAATTAACTCATACAGAAAAAATTTATGGTAATAAGTACATAATAAACTCTAAATAATAGAGAAACAATAAAACAGCAATATTTAGGCTAGCATTTTTAAAACATAAATTTCATTGAATTAGAAACTTTACTGAATTACAATCCAAAGTTAACTTTTGCTGTTACACAATATTCCTAATAGTTGCCTCCCTCAGGTTTCGTTTTAAAGGAGCATTTTTATTCCATTTCAAATAATTTTTGAGATTCGACGCTTTAAAAAATTACACTAATAAAAGAGTGAGCCTCTTATCTAACCCATACATTAATAAAGATATTAAAATGTCCATATAATTAGATAGTAAAAAGTATTAAGTATTTATCACTATACATGTACCTTTTATTTAATAATTGGAAGGGAAAAAAATTCTATTTAATGAATTATCACAGAGTTCCCACTCCCAAAATAAAATTCGAATAATTTTCAAGAAAGATGAAAATTTTTAAAATTAAAATAAGATCAGAAATTAGCCATTTATAAAAATAGTAGTCATTTTGCTTAGAATGTTTGTGCTAAATTGACTGCATATGAATGCTGGCAACAATCAATTTGAAAACACTGAAAATAGAGAAATATGGATAATTTTAAACAGTTTTTATGAAAATAAAAAAATTTTTTGGATTTAAAAAAAAAAAATTAAAAACTTCCACAACTATTCAAGATCTTTAAATGACTTTAAAGCCCTTGAAAATTTAAATCAAATTTAAATATTATTCAAGAATTTTTTTTTTAAAAAAAAAGAATGTCATGGGAACCCTGTATCAATATAGCCTAACAAAAAATTAAATTCTTTTAATATCTGAGCAAAAGCAGTACAAATAAACTGAGCTCAGAAAACTAGGAAGATTTGAACCTTGGAATATAAATTACCCATAACTTCATCTTTAGTTTCTGCAATAAGACGTTTACTTTCAAAACAAAGTAAAACATGTTTTACAAATAATCTTAGTGTATTTTCTTTGCTTGCATGCTTTCAAATTTAATCTTATTAAACTCAGTCTACAACACACAAATTCAGCATTATTATGGTAAGGAAATCTTTCTTATTGAATTTTGGAAATATATTTCTTCTAGATCATATTATTTCTTGATTATTTAAACAGTCAAAATTTGATTATAAATAAATTTAAAAGATTTCAATAGATGAGCAACTTTGTTTTTGGAATAGGAATAATCTTTAAAAAAGAAAACACTTGCAGAAAATTAAAAAGGCATTTCAATATTGGAATGTCGAAATTAAATTTTTAAAATACATAAAATTAGAAAATTAATATATTGATCAACTATCTTGTAAGTTATTTTAAACATCTGTAACTCAAAGTTCAGAGAATAAATGTACTATGTTAATTTTAGGCTCATATATATATATATATATATGAACCTAAATTATTGATTAACCACACATAATTTATGATATATATTATTTTATATGTTAATTATTACTAGGAATCTTGAGTACAAGTAATCATAATTTGCAATAAGGATTTTAATCCAGAATATAATTAATCATAATTTATGATTACAGTTTGAATCTTAATTAAAACTAAAACTGAACAATGACTACAAGTAATAAGGATCCACAATATCTAATATTAATTACAAATGTAATTTCGATTACAGAGTAAATGATTATTGTAATCAATTACATTTTGCTAAATTCTGATGTACTTTATAGGTTAAAATGAAATGGATAACTAATAAGAGTATTTTAAGAAATTGGTTAATGTTTTATAAAAACGAGCTATGCAAGTGATTTCTTTTTTTGAAATGGCAGTTGCAAAATAGAGGATAAACAAAAGTATACATTAGAGGTAGTAAATCAAAACAGGCAAACTACAATAAACAAGAATACTGAATAATTTAAATATATTGTACAATATGGAATGCACCAACTTTTCCTGAAAAACTAATTTGTATATAATAACAGATCTGAATAAAAAAGTATTGCTGTAACATTCTTAAAACAAACAAGGATTGACATGATAAAATGTTTTTAATAAAACAGTCTATTCTTAGTTAAGTTATTCTTTCAGAGATATAGATGGACCACATTACACAAAATACAAACAAAAAATAATAATAATAATATAGTCTAGCCACCACAAGAAAAGCTCCTCATTGTGAGCACGTCTTGTGGTGGCCAGACAACAGTAGTAACTATTCATCATTCATTTTTAAATATTGATTAACTTATATTAACTGCAAAAAGAATTTAAAAGAAGCTGCTAAAATTCAGCATAATTAAGGTGTAATAATAGTAACATCACAAACCAACAAAATAACATAATATTATATATGTACAATATACACTTAATATATATAAAGAAAAAAATGAGGTAGCAACATCTAAGTGTAACAGGACCCAAAAACATTTTTTTTTCAGCATTGGATTTGAGTTTACATTTGAGTTTTGTAACTTAATAATAATAAACATAATACATTAATTAATTAGCTGACAACTCAATGAAAATAGATTCATTAAAAAAAATACTTAATCCAATGCTGAATTATTCCTGTTGGTGAAAAACTGAAGTTGCACTATTAAACCTTTCAAATTATTTCCAACAGATTAAGGATAGATGCATTAACTGGTAAATATCAGTGAGTGTCTCATTCTTTAACTAAATTTACATTTTTGTTTATAATGAAAATTATAACTGATAAAAATAAATTAAATAGTTCTTATTTATAAAACTTCATTATTGTCCAACTCAATGCTATATTATTTGACTAATATTACATCAAAAACTATTAATATTAAATTATGCAAAAAAAAAATAGCAGAACATTTTTATAAATAAAAAGATCCTTATTTTCAAATTTTATATTATATCATCTACAGCATGAATATTTTAACAGACATTGTAATCAGACATTTTTATTAAATTTTCTTAGTTTTGAATTGATTATAATTGTTATAACTTAAAACAAAAGTAATTTCACATAAATATAGTAGATTATATTTAAAGAGCACCGAAAAATTAACATTTTTTTTAAAATTGACATGAAGTAAATATGAAAAATAAAATACTGATTGCCATACTTTCATAGAATATAATTTTGGTATTTTTAAAATTAATTTTTATGATTTGCAAATATTTAGTCAATTTAAGTCTTTAAATATATTGCAGCAATATAAAACCTAAATACTGAACATTAATTATTAAACTCGAAAAAAAAATTTGTTTCTAATAAAAAGTTGAAATTTTTATTTTAAAAAATAACTTATTTGAAATAAATTATGTCTTTTAAGCCAGTTTGTAGTTAATAAAACCATTTCTTACTTCCAAATGTTCTACACTATTATTAATAAAAATTTTAATTAACTAAATAACAAACAAAAAATACTAATACAACTTATTATTTAACCTATAAATGTTGTAAAACATCTATGTAAAATATTTTTGTAAATCATTATTTATTATTAACTTTATCAAAGGAAATATTTTTATAAAGTGATTGATTTGATGATTGAACATTATTAAAATGTTGACGATATTAAGTAGCAGATTATCTTTACAGGAAAAAAGTCGTAGACCAGAAAAATTTTCACATCTATTTCTTTCATTTCCAAACAATTTATTTTAGTTTAATAGAGAATTTTAAAATCAACCTAATTTATTAAAAAGTTGATTGTAGTATTCATATTTAGCAGTAGATTACAGAAATCTGAATATTATTTGTAATTGTAAATTCAATAAATGATTTGCTAATGTAATCATATTTATAAAATTTGATTATGATATTATGGCAGTTCTTTATAGAAATAAGTACCTCAGTACTTCTTTAAGAAGTAAACATTAAAGGAAACTACAGTTGTTTCAATTTTTTAAGATAAATTAATTAATTAAATTTAATTCACTATCACTAATTTGAAAATGTTGCATTAAATAGTTTGGAAATTTTACTATTACTAAGTGAAATTGCAATTATAAACTGATTAAAAATTGTTTCAATACTTAATCTTTTTTTAAAGAGTTTCATTTGCTTTTCCCCGTTGCAGACTTAAAAACAACTAAATTTCTATTCTGCAAAATTTTAAACTTGTTGATTCTTGATTATATATAAAATTAATACAAATAATCAAAAAAGCTTTAGACATTCATTCATAAAGTTGTATTCATAAAAATTAATTTCTGAAATCTCCTTATAATTTATTTCTATAGCCTCCTTAAATTTACTGCATTAAGTCTCCTTACAGTTAATTACATTATTGCTTGCAGTAAAATTCAACAAACGCACATTTTGTAAAGTAGAAGAATAGTACAAGAAATTACAATTGTTTTGGATTATTGCAGAAACTGCAGTAATGAAATATGGCAAAATTTTTTTAACTTGCACAAAAAATTTAAAAAATATGTCAATATCTTCTATTAGATTGATAATTGATTTAAATTTATACAAATACACTTATAAATGCTTCAGATTATGTGAATAAAGACAAAATCAATAAACTGATAAAAATTAATGTAAAAACATTCATAATTCCACAGGAATATCAGATACATATGTCAGCAGAATACTTAATATATTTTTGATACGAACCACATTAAATAAAAAATAAGTAAATTCCTCGAAGCTAAGAACCTTTTCAATAGAAAATAACTGCCAAACAATTTTACAACAAAGTAGAATTGTTAGAAAAAATTAATTGCTTAAAAAATTGGTAATATTATTTAAGTTGTAGAGGCTATTAAAATGGAAATTATACTTGATATTTTGATAAAAATTTAAAGGTAATGTTAAATAGAAAAAAAAAGGCACGGAAAAATTATAGGGAGAAAAAAAACAGATAGCCAAACAAAAGCAAATAATTTTCATATTTAAATTCAAAAACTAATTTTAATTTTAAATTAAAAACAAACAAAAAAAAAAAAAAAAAAGAAATTTTATGTTGANAACAAACAAAAAAAAAAAAAGATCTCTCAGAATTGAGGAACACTTATTAGGAAGGTAACATCATCAAATTAAAATGAATGATTTCTGACCTATAAATAACAAATATAGGGAAATTTGGTAATAAATCATGAATTTGCATCTAAAAATTAAAAAGCTTGACATCCAAAGATTTCTCTACCCAAGTGCGTCAGTTAAAAACGAAACTGATGATTCTATCCTGTTATATACAATGCAGATGGCGCTGAAGAAGCAATTTTCTACTGATGGAATGTAATAATTCAAAAGGCTCCATGAATGGATTAGTTGAGATAGTTTATTAAAAATTGTCAATTTGTACTAGTGGTAACAGTGCACTCCAGTTAAACTCCAGCAGTACACTAGCTGTTTTCACTTGCTTATAGAAACTCTCTTTACTAAATTAAATGTTTTTGAGTTAATTTCTCTTCTTTTTTTTAAAAAAAAAAGGTAAAAATTTAAATACGTATTCTACGGTACAAGTGAAAAATAACAGTGAATGCTTTCGAGTTGTAATAAACATTTGTAACATAACTATAAAACAGTCCATAAAAATACCCGCTTCTGACATTCTATGGATTCCCGGAGGGAGTCGTTGGTCCCTCGTCGGACCTTAATTGTTTTCTCTTTTTTTTTGAAATTTTTTCTGCACTTTAAAATAAAATCGAAATGAGAAAAACTCAGATCTGTTTTAGGTTGGCTCAGCATTTGCGTTGGATGACTGAGAAAAACGTGGACCAGCAAGAGGTGAAAGAAATGCATTCACTGAAAAGGGTAGCGAGGACTGCTCGTCGCCATTGCTAGCCCTGCTAGTATTAGCTGCGGCGGAGCTCTTGTCCCTCTCCTCTCCCCGTGATGAGTCTATGGATGGCACATAGTTTTGGTCATTCTCCCGTGTCGTCGGGAGATAACAGTCTGACGGAGATGGATGGGATGATGAGGGAGAGGGGGATGTAGGTGGCACTGTGCAAGGAGTTTGTGGAACGAGTTTGTGAAGGGAATCGTTCTTTGATTCAGTATTGCAGGAACTTTCAGCCTCTTTTTTATTTTTAGCACCATTTGTAGATGAGTCACACTTCCAGTGTCTGGGAGTGCCGTTGCTGCTGCACTCTGCAGATTCTGACTGCAGATTCTCATCCAGCAAAATAGTGGATGATGTAACGTCACCAGGTTCATCCCCCCAGCCGTTTTCAGACACTTTGCAGTCACTGGGAGCATAACGCATGAGCTGTTTCGTAGCGGGAGGGCTTTCATGGCTGATTGACTGAAGGAAGAAAATACAATCATGTACAAGTAAGCAATTATATGATATTAGAAAAAATTAGATTTTTACAAAAAAAAAAGTATGTGTTTACAACAAAAATTACTCGGTTTAATAGGATGAAATTTGATAAACTAACACTAAAAACTTCTAACGAAAATTTGATTGCAATGAATTAAAATATTTTTTGTAAAAACATACAATAAAAAAAAATTAGACAACAAGATAAACTAAAAAAATAAAACAAGAGTAATTTTGGCTCCATGAAAATCCTTTATTTACACGATCAATCATTTTTTTTTAAATATTTGTTAATTTTTCTTCGTTTTTTTAAATTTGAAATACTTTTTTAATTCCAAGACCTTGTTTTTCATAAACAAAAGAACTGTAATACTTAGTAAATTTAACCCAATATTTTTTTATCAGGGGCTAGGGAGATTATTGCAAATTATTAAATAATAAACCTCCTCTATTAAGTAATAAACTTTTATTAAATAATAAACTCTTATTTTAAAAGGCAATCTGAACTTTTAACTGAATTATTATGCCTCAATTGCTTGAGTAAGTCGAACCAGGTATTCCAGCACTGTTGAAATAAAGAAAGTGAATACAAACACAAGTGACCATGCAATAACAAAAGGTAAGCAACAATTTTTTCTCTGCTACCTTTTATTCGCATGAGTGTGTGATTACCAACAATACAATCATTAAAGTGTATTTGTATGCAATATATTTGTTTACAAAAATATTTGTAAAAATAATTTTCATAAGATCAGTAACTTTACTTCTTTCAAGCTTTTAACTAACCAGAATCAGAGTCGAGCAAATTTTTCCAACTCTATACTCCAGAATAATTTTCTTCAGCTCCCCCATTTGATTATTAAACCAAAAGATTTATATTTAATAATATGATTGAAATTCTATGTAATATACAAGCTTTGTACAGTTAAATAAATTGAAAATCTAAAATTAACAGCGATTATAATTAGTTTTTTTAATTTAATTAGTTTTTTATTCAGCATCTGTTTACAACAGAATAAGAATGAGATGAACAATAATGAGATATAGAATTAAATGAAATCAGAAAATAGAAAGAAAATCAATGAGAATATGTAGTTGAGCATTAAAAAAAAGAGGAAATCGACATACAAATTTCCCATACCCACCTTTTCACATCGATTGTTTTGTACGGGTGCATGGTTACCCTTAATTATTTGCTTTGGAAGTCCATTGACTTTGCCGTTGCATAACTTTGTAGGGTAGCCACCCTAGGGGAAAAAAGTACAAGGACGTTTTACAAAGTTGATCAAAAATAATGATAAACACTACTAATGACTTACACAGTAAATTGATATAGCAAATATGTATAACATACACAAACGCCATTAGCAGAAAATTTGTACTCATTGCAGAAATTTTTTTAGTATTTCTCATTAAAAAAAAAGGTCGGATTTCCCTGTCCCAACATGTAGGTCAATTTGAGAGCAATATAAGAATTTCCTACTTTGTTTTGCGTAGCCACACTATCCTGCAATTACGTTATCACAATTGACTTTCAAACATGCTGCTATCGTGGATGAATTTTCCTCACATTCTTTTGAAATTTCGCGTTTTTTAGTTTAATAAAAAATCCCTCTTTTCAAAGAAAACTAATCTTTTTTTTGAAGTGCCCACCTTTGCAAAAGCAATTTAAAATTAACAATTTTTTCAGTTATTTAAAAAGTGTTTTGCACTCAGCATTTTTTGCTTTTCTATTATCAGCTTCTTTGGTTTTTTACCAACTCATCCCTGTGGTATGAAACAATTTAGAATTTTATAAAAATAAAACCATTTTTTTAAAAAAATTTATTTTTAAACAAATTTTCTCAAAATTCGTTTCAACAAAAGGGTTGAAACTAGTTACAAGACTTAATCAATTGCTCGCAGAAAGTTTTTTAATTGTGGTTTTGTCTGTGTAGAAAGATTTTTTATTTTATCTAAGTCTGCGATATGGTCAGTTTAAATATATCAGCATTTTTATGCAAGAACGTACATTACTCACCTCATCCTACAAACAACATCCTACAACAAACAGCCTGTACTCACAAATATGCATATGACATGTACAATAATATTCTTATAATAAATAAATAACTAAAGAAAAGAATGATAATCCCAAATTAATTTCAGCATCTCTAGAGAAAAAATGCAATTATTTTTACTTTTCCCAAAATCATAACCTAGGGTGAAGCTAGAATTTTTTCGTCAAAGGCCCATGCCTCTTTACGTGTACAGGAGTTGAGGTCACCGACTACTGATCAATGCGAACTAATGGAGATTCCCATGTTCAGTTTTGCTGGAAATGTGATCGATAATCACGTCAAATCAGCCACATCTATGCTCACTGTATATCTTTGGTTATGTCACAGAGTCACAAAAGTTTGATGCCGTGCGTTCATCGGGGTTGGTAACAAAGCATGTTCGTGAGACAATGTCAGTTACCACTCAACTCTTCACCTACTTGTAAAATAATTTATGCAACATGCTTAGTAGCTTGTGATATGTCAATGACACAGTATCTCGATGTTCCCTCTGTTTGAAAAAGCTACTATTATGTAAGCTTCTTCTGGAAGATAAGTCTGTGGGCCAGCACGGGGCTCAGTTATGTGTAGCTAATTAGTATGTTAACTTTTTCATCCAATCATTTGTAATTTAATTCATGTTTCAGAGTGGTCGAATAAATATTTATTTCTGTAAGAGATTTGTTTCCTGATTTAAGCCACTGACAAAATAATTATTTATTTATTAATGTTGTCAAGTAAAGAAGGTCTATACCTGTCCGTTACATTTGAAGAACAAACACACTATCTGCACTTATTCAATATTGGAAGAGAGAGAAACTTGTTTGAACACGAAAAGTCGCTGCCATGTTAGATTTCTCACAATGAGGAATTGGTTCTCACCAGGAGGAATATTTATTTTGGTTTTAAACAGGATTGGTTAGTTTGTATGTTCACATTAAACAGTGTAATTATTATGATTCTTCTTAGTCTTAAGAGGATGCTATACGGCAGGAGAAACCTTTTCATAATGAAGTCTTTCTTACGAACATTTAAAACTTAAAGTTCAGAGAAAATATATATGAGCACTGGAAAACCTAAAGTCAGTTTTAAATGCTGGGGGCAAAAATTTTCGCAGGGATAACTGTGACAAAAAATGAAAAATCCTGAAAATTTTATATGCAAAAAATCAATATCAAGATATAAATTTATATACCAGATATGTTTCATATTTAACATAATTTTTTGGACTAGTATCTATAATTAAATTACCGACTATTGAACAATATCATACCTTTATAGTAACTAATTGAAGAAAAAACTTACTTCTTAGACGAATCTGCGATAATGGATTTTAAAATTGTGTGAATATGAATCAAGATATTTTACTTCAAAAATCCGAAAATACAAATTGCGATACTGAATTTTTAAATCACGTAAATACGAATTGAAATTTAGTAGTTTTAAAATCAAGTATAAATATGAAAATCAATGTTTGATATTACAACTAACTGCATGAATACTAAATTGCAATATTAGATGCATGTTACAGGAATGAGATTGGCTAAAAGCTGAATTTTCACGCGAGTAATTCTTACAGATTTATAGCAAAAATATCAGTAACATATTCTCATCCAGTTTCGTTGATGTTGAGATGCATATATATAGCAATAATCGCCGATAGAAAAGCTGCCACATTTATAGTATAACTAATTCAAGAAAAAAAAACATACTTTTCACAAGAATCGCGATAAAGGATTTTAAAATAGCATGAATATAAATCACGATATTGAAATGACGTGAAAGAAACTCGATATTGGATTTCAAAAATGTGAAAATACAAATCATGATGCGTAACTTTAAGATCGCATAAATATAAATACGAATTACGATGCATATTTTCTAAATGGCGTGAATAAGCCTAATTTTTAAGTCGCGTGTAAAAGGGTAATTTTTAAATCACACGAAAATAGATGTTGGATATTAGAACTGCAAAAACGAATCACAGCATCAGATAAACTCGCCTGAATATGAATCGTTATATAGAGTTTTTAAAACTCGTAAATAAGAACTGCAATATTGTAATCGCGAGAATAGGAATCGCAACGCTCAACTTTTAAATCAGGTAAATACCAAAATCGATGTTTGATATTAAAATGCAGCGACGTCCTGATTACGAAAATATGAGCTATCTAGCGGACGGGTAAAAATGAGGAAAATCTCATTTTCTGCTCGTAAAAGCTAATAGCTAAAATAAGCAGATATGCCGAAGGGTTGGCAGCTACGTAGTCAGAATTTCCTATATATCTTTCGATGTATTATATCTATTTATCAAATCGAAATAAATATGATTATTTTATTTCAACGGCTGAATTTTCAGAAAAGGCGAAATATTTATAAAAAAAAAAGTTTTAGAGAATCTGAGTTTTTGATAAAAAGGCTAAAATTCGAGTGACAAAAGCGAAAAAGGCTGAAATCCGCTAAAAAGAGGAAAAATCTCATCTCTGATGTTAAATCTGTTGAGTCGCAAAGTCCTCCACATTCCCATAACAAATCAATTCCTCTGGGGTACTGATCCAGGAGTTTCTTCTGGATTTGATTCAAAATTACAAGGCTATGTAGTTGAACATTGGTTGTCTTTAACCCAAAATTGGATCGGCTGTTCAACAATAATTATAAAATAAAAAACTGCAAGCAGAAAAAGTAATTAAGTCTGTTAATGCAATTACTGAAACATAAAAGTACCTTTGTATCCAAATGGTGTTGATTAGAGCCATTGGGATAGGTTTCCATTTCACGGCTTTCAATAGTAGTTCTGTTAGCAGAGTGGCCGCTCAATATGTGACCATTCAAATGGGGAATATAACCATTCCCACAACAACTTCTTCCTTCAGAAGACGCAGGATCTGGATTAGATATGCAGCACCTATTGATTCATACATACCATGATGAATTCATATTCAAAAACAATGCAGATCATTTTTAATGCCTCATTCAATAGAAAAGTTTTACAGTTTGCCAAGTAACTCCTATTTAAGAATGAAGTGACTTAAAAATATTTGTATACCTTTTGCGACAAATGATAGCAGCGCAAATGATGATGCACACTAAACCAATGCTAACTCCAATGATGATTCCAAGAAGCGGATTGCTAGGCTCAGCTTCAATAGCTAAATCATAAAAAAATAAATACATTTTCCCTTACTGCACAAGAGATAATTTTTAAAACACAACACATGTTGGATACATTTTAAGAATCCGGATTTTTTTTCCTACTTTTACATGATCTTCAACTGAGAAGTTTTTAAAGGATTCTATTTTATTTGGTAATTTAAAGCAAGATTACAAATTAATAAGACAATCATAACTGACTGAAAACAAGTACAATAAAATATAGTGTCCAGAATAAAACAGCACAGCTGCATTCAGATTATACACTTGGCGGTTTACTTTTGAAAAATTTGAACAGCTTATTTTAATTTCAGAAATAAATCCTGCGTAAAACACATTTTAATATTTTATTATCTTATTAATTTATTGTTTCTTACAAATAAGAAAAAAGAATTAACTCACCTGTTTGATTAAAAATAATTAGAAACCCTTAAAATATAAAATTAAAAAAACATTTCATATAGAGTGAGAAGTGATTTTATAAGAAAAGTAAGCACTAGAATGCCATAAATAATTATTTCTTAGTCACAGCAGATATTTTGTACAAGAAGATAAAGTTATGCCTAACTGAAGTATTCATTCACTCTAAGTGATTGTCTACCAAAGTTTTTAAAAATTAACAAGTTCAAAGATATCTTAACAAAAGTAAAAGCTATAATGCTATAACAAAGTGTCTAACAATTACAAAAATTTCAATGTCCATTACTCTAAATTTGACAATTTTCGTAGATTTTTGAGCTAATTGATTGCCAAGATACAATTTCTCTCACAAATCCAAAATTGTGAAATAGGAATTAGGTTTCAGAAAGAGGTGGTAATTAACAGAACCACTAAGAGAGATTTTTGGTTGAGATTCTCGTCAATGGTAGACACCTTGTGTTTCTAAGTCATTTAAAAATTAACTATGATAGTAACAGCAAATAATAGGCTTACATTCTGGACTAGGAGGTCTGGTAATGTTATGCCTGACTGGAATATTTATTCGTTCTACACTTGTCGGAGGGCTCATGCCGGCAGAATTCCTGGCTCTCATTCGCAAATAATAAATTGTGTTGCTAGTAAGCCCAGTTAGAAGTGATGTCAGCTCTGAGCCTTTAAAAGAAAACAACAGTTGTAATTCACAATGTAGTTCTTTTCCAAGAACTTATAAAATTTTAATTTAAAAATTAAAGACATGATTTCTGGAAAAAGAAATAAAAGACAGTAATTATTCAAACTTAAGAAGTGAAAATAGGATTGTATGAAGAAAAATATAATCAAAATTTCATTTTTCTTCATTATTATTATTCATTAGAGATATAAAAATGTCTCCTAAAGCTTCAACTTTTTAGTTCATAAGAATTAAAGACATGATTTCCAGAAAAAAATAAAATACAGTAATTATTCAAATTTAAGAAGTGAAAATAGTATTGTATGAAAGTAAAATAATGCTTAATTTCATTTTTCTTCATTATTATTATTCATTGAAGATATAAAAAATGTCTCCTTAAGTTTCAACTTTTCAGTTCATTCATTCGCAGTTAATTAGCAAGTTTTATTAATATACTGGTGGAATCGATTTAGATCAAGCAATGCATAACAATTATCTGTTGTTTCAGAAATGCTTATTTAAGTTACTTCATTAAAAAATACAGATTTTATATTAAAAAAAATATAGATTATAAAAACTTATCAATTTGATTAATTTTAAATAAAATTAAAATTTATTAAAAAAAAACTTTTATAAAACATCAGTCTTCCATAGATGAATTTTAAACTAAAATTCATGTCACTTTTATTTATATCTTTACTTTTATTTTAATTTATTTATTAAATAAGAGTTAAAAAAATCTACAGTATATTTTCAAACCTATTTATAAAAAAAATAATCAAAATCATCATTTCATAAAATGAGGAATTTAAATATATAAATATATATGCATTTTATTTATTAATTTATTTTTTTAACAACTGAACCATATAATGTGTCTTACTTCAAAAGTCAATTCAGGTTTTATTTTTTAGAACTCATAGTTGAAAATTTTTAAATCAAGTAAAAAATTAGATTTTAGCAATCATATTTTATATTTAATATCAAACTTCAAAAATATTTAAAATGTGCGCAATAATTTGTAAAACAATTAAAGTTCAAGTAATTGAATAAAATGAATCTTTGTGAAAGTGGGATTTTCCCAATTTCGACTTTATGGTGTCTCTTTAACCATTTCGCGATGGGAAGCGCAAACAGGTGCTTATCGCTGAGGCCGGCAGTCTCGCGAGCGAGCGTCTGTCCTAGGCCGGAGGGCTTTTTGCTGTTAAGCTTAAATCCATGAAATTACCAAAATGTCAACTCACTGTTTAATAATGTTCCGTAGAGTATTTAAATGGCATATGCTTTATATATATTTCTATAGATACTTCATTTACTTAAGTTATTTCCTGTTTAAATATATATTTTACACATTTTATTTCCATTATGCACTTACCATTTAATAACTTTTAACATTATATATCAGAAAACTAAATAAACGACTTAAAATTCGTTTTTCGCATGAAAAATTTGAAAACACTAGCATTGCACTAAAAACTGGACCGCAAATCAAAATACCCAATGCTGTAGCAAAAAAAAAAAAAAACTCCAATGCTTACTGTAAACAAATACCTCGTGCAAATTTAAAGAGTCGTTAATCTAAGAGTCGCAAATTTAAGAGTCGCAAATTTAAACATTTCTTTCTCCTCCATTCCTTCCCCCTAAAAACCACATGTATGTGAGTCATAATTCTATCATTTAGAGTAAAGGTCAAATCTACATGTATCTGAAACCAAATGGACATACAATGCCATCTTCTGGCAGAAATTTTATTTTTTAAAACGTTCGAGGACACTGGCACAAATGAGTGACGATCGGGGGTGAACGAGAAAACGCTCTGGCACACCAGTGTGTCGGTCGGAAAGTGAGTGCGCTTCTTGCTGGCACGAATATGTGACAGTCGGCGCAATAGGGCTAATAAAATTGAATTTTGTGAAGAGGATCTTAACTTAGAAATTTGAATTTTACTTATTTTACAAATTTAAATTTTGTGTAGGGGCTTTAAATTGGCCCCAACGTTTTAATCCCCTGACCAACTCATCTTAAAACATAATTGTGCAGCTCATTTTAAACAACTCATTTTAAAAACATGCTTATTACTTCAATTTTTAATAAAACTCTTCAATTTTTCAACAACTTCAATTTTTAACAAAACAAAAAATATGTTCGTTCTAACACATTTCAGTAAAAATGATACATAATACCCATAAAAAATTATACACTACTTAAATGCTAAAATTACCTTTCTCCTCTTTTATTTTCCATGAATTAAGCTTATTGTCATTTTTTGTACTATAGAGTATGTAGTAGGCAGTTATAATGCCATTTGTATACTTGGGTGCTTGCCAATTCAAACGAATGGAGTTGGCATCAACTGGAGCCCATGTCATATCTTGAGGAACAGATGGCACTAAGAAAAAAAAATTCATACAAATAAATTGAAAATAAAACATATAATATGTGAACAAAAGCAAAATAATCACAGTTCGTCTATTTAAATCAGTTTGATTAACAAATTTACAAAGCATTTTAATATGAGATAATTGGAGTTTTTATAGATTATCATAGTCTTAAAATTTATTTTTTCATCTCAAATATAACATAAAAATTTTAATACAAAAAAAATATCAAAATGTTGAAATTTTCAAAAATAGAAAAAACTATTCAAAAACACAGTAGGGAAACTTTGCATACACTTCAAAATGTCAAAACTGTCGATAACACGATGTACTAAACTTTTATTGAACCCCAAGAGAGGAGCTTAAAAGTCAAGCTATCTAGTTGTATTCTCAAAAAAGTAAGAAATCATTCGAAAACATTTTAAGAAAATGAGATTTCTGAGAGTCATTGTTTCAAAATTACTAAGAAAAATTTAATATGCTTACTATTGATCAAAATATATCTAAACACACATTTGAAGCTATTAACCACTTAGCAAATCTAATTATTAAAATGTGATTCTATTTTTTTTCTTCTTTTAAGCAAACTATGGCATTGTTTGATTTGAAACACACCATTTAATAAGACAAAACTTACTTGACTGCCCTTAATATTAGGTTGCCAATGGCGAGCTGGTGATTAGAAATTTTGGATTCTGATAAAAACTAAGTAGCAATAGCATTCAGTGTCATTTTCAAATAACCTCACATAAATTCTAAATTTTCTCGCCCATGCCATAAACAGAATTACATTAACTGTGTCAAGAATTTAAGCACAAAACTGAGTCACAAAATTCCTTTACAGAATTCTCAACCTAAATAATCTTACTTTAAACTATTTCAGTTTAAACTCCATCCAAGTTTTATAGATAGCTAAATTTTATTAAAGTCTAAAATAAGAAAAAACTGACACATTTTAAAAAAGAACTTTCAGTTACTCTCAGAATGCTAGGAAAGAGTCTGAGATGATTTTGAAAGATTTTCAAACAAGATCAACTTATGGCAACAAACAAAGGGTATGAATTAACCCTATGTTTCTATACCCCATAAGGGTAGCATTAAGTTTAAATAAATCTAAAAATAAATTTTAAGAGGAGGAGAGAGAACATAAAATAGCTTAATAAATAATAATAAAGGTAGAGAGAGAGAAAAAAAGGGGTGTGAACAACATCAAAACCCTATTTTGATTTTCAAAAATAATTACAATATTTTGTTTTTAAAAAAAATTAACAAATAAATAAGATTTATACAAACAATTTCATGATTTTTTATGAATTCTGGTTTTCTCAAATCCACTTATTTGAACGTATAATGAGAGTTCAAGAATGTAACTTACATGCTTCATTTGTTCTGCATTCAACTGTGGAGCTATAAGGACCTTGGCGTTTGTCCACATCGTGTGAACGAACAGAAAATTCATACAACATAAAAGGCTGCAAATCCATGATGACAACTTCATTGTTTGTACTAGAAGAGATAAAGTACACATCTTTTGAAGTACATGAGATTTTATTTTTAACTGAGTTTGAAAACTTTATTTTAAAAGATCCATCTATGGCGTATGTGCAAACTGGATTATAAAATTTCAGGAATTAACGACTGTGAAAATATGTAAAATAAATAAAAGGTAAAAATCTCAGTAAACCTAACTGGAAAAACTTTGAAAACTTTATTTTAAAAGATCCATCTATGGCGTATGTGCAAACTGGATTATAAAATTTCAAGAATTAACGACTGAAAATATGTAAAATAAATAAAAGGTAAAAATCTCAGTAAACCTAATTAGATTTTTTTTCTTAATTTAAGAAAATATAAATTATCAAATGTTTGTGTTAAGAATGGTGCAAGGCACATTTCCCTGACTTTCGCACAGTTAAACAATAGCCACCTTGTTCACCAGACTTGAATTCAATGGACTTTTCCTCATGGCTCAACTTCGTTTATAAAAAACCTCATTAAGCTTTGATGTTTGTATGACAATCCTTGGGCAAGAAATAAGACGAAATTACCAGTAGGTGACTTGCAGCCCAAAGCTGAATGTGCTTATAGTTCTGTATGAATCTCAAAATTGGTCATTCTGAAAGTTTGAAAATATTGAGAGACAGCAATATTTCCATATTTATGTAATGGTTTTTTTTTTGTGATAATTTAGTAAGACAAGTTATTTTATCTAACCTACATTATTTTTGGATTACAAAAAATTTAAATGGCTTACGAAACATATTAAATGGTTCTAGAATACATAAAATGTGATATACAAGATAATTATAGAAATAAGCTTCAAGTCTATAGTTAAATTAATCTGGGTAACTTACACCAAAAAACTTCAACTAAGAAGTTAAGAATAATTGATAAAGGAAAAATCAAATAATTGATAAAATCAAATAACAGATTTTAAAAAAATCAAATATTTATCTAAGGTTTGTTGCTTCGTTCAAAAATGTTTCAATCAATCTAAAACTTAATTTTTTTCTTAAATTTAATACTAGGTAATACACAACTATAACACAAAGCATCATAAAAAAAAATTTATGAGCTAAAATTACAACATAAATGCATTTTCTTTAATAATAATTTTTTATAAGCATTTTATATATATATATAATGCTCTGTGTAGTTGTTTTATGGATGTCATAGTTGTGTATTTCCTAACATTAAATTTAAAAATTCTTAAAAAATTAAGTCTTAGATTGTTTGGAAAAAGCAACAAACCTCAAATAAATATTTGATTTTTTTTTAATCAATTATTTGATTGTCAAAAAAAAGTATTAAAAAATATTTCAATAATTTTTATTATGATTAGAGGTGCACAACCTGCGGCCCTTCGACTACTGAAGTGCGGCCCGCGAGAACTTCTAAACACAATAAAAAAAATTTTAAAAATGGCAATTTTTAATCGCACTTTTAAGTCATCACATTTTGAAACAATCAATTTTAACAGATTCTTCAGTAAATGTACGTTTAACGCGCTTTTTTTAAGCTGATTTTATCGTAATATAAATGATTTTTTTAAACAGTTATTTTCGCTTTTCTACGTGATTTCAAAAATCCCGAATTTTTATTACGACGAGTGCTTCAGATCGCAAATTTAAATAATCACTTTTTGTGCACTTTATGTGTGACGATTTCATCTTAAATCTAAGTGATTTTTTATCTTTTTTTTTTGCAATTCTTTCTTTATTTAGAATAATTCTCTCTTTTTTCTTGCAACTCTTTCTTTTTTTAGAATTGAAAAAATTTCAATTATTCTATTACGACATGCAAATTTTAAATCATGCATTTGACACGTTTTATTCGTGCTGAGTTCAGCATAAATATATTTTTTCCCAATTATTTCTGTACTTCTCCACACGATTTTGACAAATCCCGTTATTTAACTATGATATTATTACGACACGTGATTGTTAATCGAGCAATAAAATAATCACTTTTTGATACGGTATTTCGGTACAGTTTTATCGTAAATCCTAGTTACTTTTCCTTCATTTTTATTTCCGCAACGAATATGATTTGGTCGAATGTGGTAATGAATTGTGATTTGATCAAAAACCAAATATTCGACAAGAAGAAGAAGAAGAAAAAATCGACTGAACGCCGCACACTTGGGGCCAAATAGTAAAATCTTTTAGCAGCATAGCAATACTGAAACTAAAATTTCAATGCTCAGAATAATATTTCCTGGAAAAACGTATTCATAAATTAACTCTAAGAAATAAGGCCAATCAAGAACGTTTTTGAAAATGTTGAATAGCGAAACAGAGAACATAAAAATGAATCTTAATTTTTGAAAAAAATTTTTAAAGCTGAACATCTCAGTTTTTCAATTGCCAGAAAAAGCCAAGAAAAAAGAATTAAGTCAACAGAAATGCTATTAAAAATTACTGCGTCATAATGAAAATGCCTAAAAAAAGTTTTTTTTTATTTAAAGAAAATAAAAAGATAGTAAAAACGTTCTTAATTTTTAAAATGAAAAACTTATGCTGAGAATCTCAATTTAAATTTTTCTCATTGCCATAATTTTAGAAGAAAAAAAATTGCTATAAAATAAACTTTATTAGTAACTTTATTTTTAAAAAAAATGCTGAGTCATAATAAAAATAACTAAAAAAAGAAAAAACGAATTTTTCTTAGTTCCTGAAACAAAACTTTAATACTGAAAATCACACTTTTCTATGTTACTGGTTATTTATATTACAGTACAGGGAAAGAGTGATAATAAATTAATAGTATGAGACGTTCTGTTAAAATGCTGGGTTATAAT